CTATGGAAGCACACACTATGGAAGCACACACTATGGAAGCACACGCTATGGAAGCACACACTATGGAAGCACACACTATGGAAGCACACACTATGGAAGCGCACACTATGGAAGCACACACTATGGAAGCACACACTCTGGAAGCACGCACTATGGAAGCACGCTATGGAAGCACACACTATGGAAGCACGCTATGGAAGCACGCTATGGAAGCACACGCTATGGAAGCACACGCTATGGAAGCACACGCTATGGAAGCACACACTGTGGAAGCACACACTGTGGAAACACACACTGTGGAAGCACACACTGTGGAAGCACACACTATGGAAGCACGCTATGGAAGCACACGCTATGGAAGCACACGCTATGGAAGCACACACTGTGGAAGCACACACTGTGGAAGCACACACTGTGGAAGCACACACTAGAAGTTCATTGTTGTCATAGCAGGTCGGAAGAAAGACTCCCCGGGGTCAGGAGGTGGGAGGTCATATGTAGGGGGTCCCAGCATGTACATGTGACTTTGTATATCCCTATATAAAGGTGATGTGCGATATTCCATATACGGGTCGGGTTCTGACAGCCGCAGGTCTCACCTTGGGGGGCTCAGTTGTCATCTTGATGCTGGCCTGCAGGATGGAGATGGGGAACTCGGGGTGCGGGCTGGAGCTGAGCCACAGCCTAAAGCTCGGGTGCGGATTCTCCACCTGCAGCTGCTCCACCAACTTGTCCAGCTGCGGCATCCAGGAAAGAGAGAGGTGACAATTGGCCAGGAAGACCCAGTGACCTGAAAAGACAAAATATATCATCATAGACCCGCTCCAGTCTGATGGGAATAAAAGGATGAGGAGATGCCGGAATCATCACAGTGGAAACACCTATATGGGAGCGGATTTACCTGATGGGATTTGTCATTTGAATCTATCCAGATTTCACATCACCTCCCCCTATGTTATATAGATGAGGGGAGGGGGAGGTATTCTGTAGTTCTGTCCTAGGGTGACAATGCTGCTCCTGAATGGATACAGTACATCGTTGTAGCATTGTCACCCTAGGACAGGACCTACATGATGGCATAGCCAGGCTGCTGTCCTGACTTTTCTCAACTGCAATTAGAATAATACAGCTCGGTCGTCCCCCCATCCTGTGATTGGACAGTGATGGAGCAGCAGTTCACCTCTGTGCTTGCTGCTTTCTCCTCCTCTATACATGTTCCTTGTAAGCACATGTGCATGCAGCTCACCTTATTGGCTCCCAGTGCTGCCTCTGCCTTTCCCAGCCTGAAGGCTTTTGTACAGGGTAATACAAGAAGCTCATACGAAGACAAATTTAGACATTTACACTAGCTGCATTAAAATATATATATATTAGGGATGCACCGATATATCGGCCGCCGAAACATATCGGCCGCTAATGGCACTTTTGGCTAAATGCCGAAAGTGCCATTTTTCTGACGATACATCTGCGCATCCCTGCTTTCTTTCCTCCCCGCTGGGAGCTGCTCTGCGTCCCGCTGGGGAGTAGAGAAACTGTGACAGCCGGCCGAGCGCTGTGAGCGGCCGGCGTCTCCTCCCACACCGCTCAGCATCCTATCACAGTTCGGCAGAGTGGTGTGTGGGCGGAGACAGCCCTCGCTGTCACAGGATGCTGAGCTCTCCTCCCTGCTCCGCTCGCTCAGCCTCCTGTGACAGCGTGTCAGAGAGGAGAGCAAGTTCAAGCAGTCGGTGATCAGTGATCGCTGAGTGTTTGTAGATAATTAAGGACATGGTTTGTGTATTTGAAATTTCCATTTCGGTGCACCTCTAATATGTATCTACATACATACACACAGTATATATATTTGTATTGTATTTATTACATGCATATCTGCACCAATTTGTGTTTGTTAAATCTGCATTATCTTCAGCTTAATATGGCCATTTCAATATCTTTATAATGAATTATGTGGAATATGAATCCCTGACATAACTATAGACATGGCCACAAAGAAAACCTCAGGGAAAGCTGTTCACTGGATCACCACAAAAGACACCAGGTCACCCTTGTCAGGACAAGGACAAAGATTTAATATTGAGCTGTAGAGAGACTTCATTGCTGTACAAGTAAACAAAGTCTCTTTAATACATATGACAATATAAAATTACGATCAATGAAGTCCTATCACTAACTGACCACTAGATGGCACCCAAGATCACAGAATGTAAATCCATAAACATTACCAAAGGATTTCCCGAAGTCACTCACTGGGAGCGAAGTGTTACCTATTATAATTACTACAGACACATATATAACATGTCACTGACATACGTGTGAATATATATACTGTATATGAATAATTACTAATCAGCAATATATGACATTATTGCTAAGTGATGATTAAAATGAAAAAAATATTTACATTCTGTTCCATTTACATCCCATAGGGATGTAAACTATACAGCAGGGGTAGTGCATTAAAATTCAAGGAGGTCCAGTAAGTAAACTTTTAATCGAGTCGAGGTCCAAATCATGGTCCGGACAGAACGCTCTCAGCCCATGTCCATACCGTGGTCCGCCATTTAGGCTCCATTCACACTACAATGCACAGCTGCTGGTGTGTGTTCCCAGGCACAGTGCTGATACGCTGATCCCAGGCCATTGCACTGTTTATTTCTTTTTTGTTAGAACTCCTCCCCTCCGCATTTAAATACACGTGCATGCCTTACGCGCACGTGGTCATTGTTCATGGCAGCGTTGGTTTTATTTATTTATTTTATTTGTTTTTTACTAATCACCTTTTTATTTTTTATAATTTTTTTACTTTTTTATCACCTTTTTATTTATTTGTTGTGGGCGGAACAATAGCCAACTAGTACAAGTGATCTGGGTTCTGAACATCGGGATGGGTAGTGTAACTAAACATAGCACGTGAGATGATAATATTACAGATATCTTCATAATTCGGTGGTCAGTAGTCTGGGCAGATGTTCACAATTTAGAATCTGAATAGACAGCCTCGGACCTTGACGGCTGAGGAGGTAACACCTCATTGCTAATGAACCTCCGACATGATCCTGTAGCTGCAGATAATGGTGAATGACAACCATCACTTCACAAGCCATCAAAAGAAACCTCCAGACCGGGTGACTCTAAAATCAGTAGGAGGGAAAGGTCATCCTAAATTGGAGGCACCACACTGTCTGTGTCACCACTAATTTTTTTAGATCAAAAGTAATATGTTTCATCTCTCATAAGATCCAAAACATTAGTGGTAGAGAGATGAGAGTCTACTATTCCTTCTTATACTACACACTATAAGCTACATTAAGATTCCGAAAGGTATGCTCTGGCCTTAGAGAACCACCGACGGAATGACTAAATGGTACTATAGACCCGGCTCATGGCAGCTGTGGGGTGTTTGGACTCGCTGTGATCAGGACGATGCACTGGTGTCAGATATCCTAACTCCAAACCAGCAATCAGAACCGGCTGGTCCATATAGCCAATGGCCAATTCAAGAGGCAAAGACTCTCCTCACACCAGGCAAGGTGCCACCCTCAAGTGTTACAGGCAAAAAGGAAGGGTCCATCCCGTCTTTCCTCTATGAATTAAGTAGCATGAAAATGAACATTGTAATTTGTCTAAAACATGTACCATGTAGCGGTATGTGCCTGCTATCATCCACCTATGGCACACTATACTACTGTTTAGCCCTCATTCACACGAGAAAAAGCCGTCACGTACAGCTCGGTGCTGCGTGCGCGGCCTTATCGGGCAGCTCCTGGGAAGGACAGGTGATGCATGTGATTAGTACGCAGCCCCCATCCTTCTCTATGGGGGTACGTGGCCGTACGCTGCCCTACACTCACCCCAAGTGCAGGTCCATCTTGGTGCGGGTGTCCCGGCTCGGACGCAGACAGGATCCATCCTGTGAGCGTACTAGTACGGACACCTGTACGGACGTGCTGGGCGGGTGAGTGTAGGGGAGGGGCGTACGGCCACGTACCCCCATAGAGAAGGAAGGGGGCTGCGTACTAATCACACGCAGCGCCTGTCCTTCCCGGGAGCTGCCCAATACGGCCCCGCACGCAGCACGGAGCTGTACGTGCCGGCTTTGTCTCGTGTGAATGAGGCCTTACAGTGATGGGTTCCCTACACTTGCACAAATGTGTTTCAGTTCTGGTGCTGCTACAGAGCTGATTGGATGAAGGCATCATAAGGGAAGCTTTTTGGCATAGGCAATGTTCTGTTCCCTCAGACTCCTGTGTGTGATGGTGTAAGACAAAGCAGATCTGAGCCTCACCTTCCTTCACTCCTTCTTTGATCAGGCGAGTGGCGATGGGTGCCTGGCCTTGTCCCAGTGACAGAGCCCGGAAACGCTGTGACATGCCGCACTGCTCAGCCATTTGTAGGAGTGCCCCCGTGGGATCCACGCCTGAGGAGAGAACGAACACCAGCGGAGAACGAGGGAGGGAGTCGTCAACCACCTGAGAGAAAAGACAGGAGAACGCTTATGATATGGACTCTGAAACAGCTGTTATAAGGTCAGCCAAACCCAAAAGTCATATTTTAGTTATAGGTGGAGAATGTGGGCCAAGTCCTGGCTTCTTGTATGTCTTGGATACTCCAACAGTGAGATCTCACTGTCATGATTCCCTACATGGAGAACAGAGGCACTCTAATCAAGGAGAACAGAGACACTCTAATCAATGAGAACAGAGACATTCTAATCAATGAGAACAGAGACATTCTAATCAATGAGAACAGAGACACTCTAATCAATGAGAACAGAGACATTCTAATCAATGAGAACAGAGACACTCTAATCAATGAGAACAGAGGTACTCTAATCAATGAGAACAGAGACACTCTAATCAATGAGAACAGAGACACTCTAATCAATGAGAACAGAGACACTCTAATCAATGCGACCAGAGACACTCTAATCAATGAGAACAGAGACACTCTAATCAATGCGACCAGAGGCACTCTAATCAATGAGAACAGAGACACTCTAATCAATGCGACCAGAGGCACTCTAATCAATGCGACCAGAGACACTCTAATCAATGCGACCAGAGACACTCTAATCAATGAGAACAGAGACACTCTAATCAATGCGACCAGAGGCACTCTAATCAATGAGAACAGAGGCACTCTAATCAATAGCAGCAGAGATACTCTAGTCAATGAGTGCACATCTTTTAAAAAGCGGAAGCCATCTTGGTTACCCAGCATTCCCCCTGCTTACCGCTCTCATATCCAGCACGGGTGGCTCTGTGAACTTGGACCCCAGGTTGTTGATGATGAAGGCAGTGACGCAGAACGCCACCCTATCCTGGCGCAGCGAGCGGACAATCAGCATCCTCTGCACCTCACTGCAAGCGTTTTCCCATTCCCCTGTAAAACAAACATTGGCTTTACCAACTGCTGGAGACGCGGCAGTTAGAAAAGGTAAAGTAGTGCCATTTTCTGACTCCGCTGCGATAGGTGACTGTTACATATGGGGGAACGCATTGCATTAGGGTTGTATGTTTGTAGAGTTTATATTTCTGTGTCATGCTAAAATGAACTTTTTGGTCATGCAGAGCCATACATAAGCTTCCCTTCTTCCTTTTCTTCGCTGCCCCGCAGCTCCACTCATCCACGGTAGTGAAATGACATATACAGTACTTAAAGTGGAAATGAGGACAGAAGGAGAGTCCTAAATCATGATTCCATTACATATCCTAAAAAAGAGCATTATTCCTCAATTCAGGACAGTGGGCGGAGTCATGACAATCATTTCTTTATGCACCCCCATGTACATCCAGAACTGCTGGCGTATAGTGCTAACATGGCCCACGCTCTATCATATTAGGCTGTATTTGTATTGTACATTTGTGGTTTTGGATGTGCACTTGGCTATTGGAGCAGGGAATGATTTGCATGACTCCGCCCACTATCCTCAAATAAAGAGTCATCCTATTTTTTGGGGGGGATATATGATGAAATGAGACATATAACTACCTTTTGGTTTAATAAGGCTCTACTGTACTACACAAGAGGATGACACGAAACAATAATGGGGTCAAATGTCCTTTCAGTAGGGCCTCATTCTCACTTCTATAACTAGCAAAACTCTCTGATCAGATTATATGCAGATGACAGTTCATTATTTTTCACAACACTGTACTATTTCAGTCTTATTATTTTCTCCCAATCCATTGCAGTTCTATAATATAAACAACAGCACTGTAATGGGTACCAGTAACATGGGATCAGTGCAGCACCCATTGCTGTACCTGGCAGGCAAGCGCTTTCAGGCTCAGGGCTTGTATACCACTGGTTCCAGTCACGCGGGTACTGCTCAAAAGAGTTCATGATGCCGTGGAAATTGGTCAGTTTGTCAAGTTCTGTTATGTTGTCCCAGTTGGCATCGGACAGCCAACCTTGGCACGGGTTATCCATTTGTTCTTCTCGATCCAGCACCTGTGATTGAAACACATACTGTCAGTCTTTTATCACAATGAACCCTGTGGTGATATAAAACTTGAAATCCTATCACTGGAGACAACTCGCCGGCCACAAGATTGTTATGTAGGGCAGGGCAGAGAAATGCTCTACTGTTTGCCCAGGTCACTTTCTCGCTGTCTATCACGGGGGTACGGCTGAGCCGTGAGTGGAACCCACTGGCAGGAACGGGCAAGGAGGTCCGAAAAAACAAAGTACAAGAGGGGACTCCAAAAGCGTAATCAAGTCAAGTCCGAGTCGAGGCAGGCGGCTAAGTTCAAGAAACGAGAAGGCGGGCCGAAGGGTCAGTAACTGGGAATTCAGATAAGGGGTCAGGAGTGGCACAGGTTTCCAACACAAGAGGTTAGGTGTTTGCACTGTATAGGTAGAATAACTCAGCATCAAGCCAGGGCTCTGACTGGAACTTATACCCAGTGGGACCAAGGACCACCCCCTGATTGCCGAGACAACCAGGAGGCTTCTCTATCTGTCAGGAAGCAGGGAGTGTTGCCTCTCATCGGGGACCACGGGCATGGCGCAGGGCACAGGTTCCCCTTCAGCTCGGTAGAACACCTGGTGCCCGGGGTGTGCGCAGTACGCAGGCTGCGCGCGCATCCTGCGTCATCGGGCTATCAGGTGTGAGCCTTGCTGGGGGAGGTTCCCAATACACACCCTCCATCTTCCTCACCTGCCATTGGTTCTCGGGGAGGGAAGCCTCCTGGTTGCCTCGGTGACTGGGGGGTGGTCCTACCTCCCCTGGCTATAAAAACCTGGCCTGAGCTCTGGCTTATTGCTGAGTTATTCCACCTTATGGTGAACACCTAGCCTCCCTGCTGATCCTCTTGTTGCCTGTTGCCCCTTCGAAACCTTCCCGATTGCTGACCCTTGGACTGTCTTACGCCTTAGAACCTTCGCTGCCTGCCTCGACCCGGATTGGACATTAACTACCCCTCTTGGATTATCCCTAAACTTGTACCGCGTTTCTGGACTGTCAGCTGCTTACTGCCAGTGGGTTCCTCATCTCGCTACTGGCTCCTTGGGACGTCTGACACTATCCAGGAGCCAATGGCATGAGGGAATGGGCGGAAGGTGTATGCTGGGAACCTCCCTCAGCAAGGCCAACACCCGACAGCACAGTCTGTCCACCACTAGTGCGCACCCGCCTCGCATGCGCAACCTCAACACTGGTGCCGCGAGTCCTGCCAGGAAGAAGGAGACCCCGTGCCCTATGCTGTATTTGGTGGCCCTGGTAAGAGGTGGCACCCCTGGTTCCCTGATACCGTCTGGATGAGTGAGGCATCACTCCCTCGCTAGAAAGTGAATTTGCAGCATTTGCATCATCCAGCCAGCGATGGAGCGACTTTTGGAAACAGGTTATTATTGTTATTGAGATCTTTAGTAATCTTGTCACTGGCGAGCTGTCGCTGCATTACAAATGGTGCCTCTGGGGTACCCACCACTCCTCCGCGCAGGAAGAAGTTATATTCGTCCATATTGAGCTTTCCTGCTACCTCCAGTATCTTGGCGCACATTTGGAAACTGAATAGGAGCTTGTGCCTTTCAAAGAGAGCCCGACACGTGTACCTGGCAAGACGAAAAGAACATCGTCGATATAACGTCTCCTAAACCACCTTGTCATGCTTAATATATTATATTATTATAAGAGGCACTTTTGGGACAGATATTAGTTTTTAGAAAAAAATGCAAAATTCAGTTTATTGTTTTATCAGTTTATCTGTAATAGTTTCTTTTGTAAAATAATCTTGAAATAGTTCATCATTTCACCTTAATAAAGTAAATATGAAATACTAGATATGTATATTAGTTCATTACTAGTCGCTACTATCTTCCAGCAAGATCTACAGGTTTTTTTTTGACACAGCAAAGACGGCATCATTCGGCTTAGCCAGTAATATGACACAAAAGCATGCGACTAATGCTGGGCTTTCTTTTTTTTTTAGAGAGTCCAGTATGCTTTGCAAGCTGAGTGTCATGACTGTACCGTGTTATCTGTCATATATGCAAACAAAATATATGAAATCTGTAAATCATTTGGCTGCAAATATTACACCCCATTCACACTGAGCGACATGGATATTGCGCGTTTTTCTGCACGATTTCGCGCTGAGCGGCTTTGAGCTACATTGCGCAATATTGAGCGACACTACACATTTTATCGCGCTACGTAGCGCATTTTTGGGGCGGGACTTCGTCGCTGCTAATTGGGTTGTAACCAATCAACAGCGATCTTGATGTGACATCATTCTTTCCTTCCATTTTGCAGTGCAAAAGTGACCCTTCTGTAGCGCGATATCGCGCAACGAAGACGCGCAATATCGCCGGTAATGCGCGATTTTGCATGACACTATAGAGTCTATTGGAGCCGAATCGCGTGACATCCGCGCAAAAAAGGGTCATGTACGAGCGACAGGCAACATTGAGCTGTGAGGTGTTATCAGCTCCGTTGAAATGCATTGGACAAGCTACATAGAGCGATATCGCAAGGAAATATGCGCGATTTCGTGGCAAAAACGCGTGATAAACCGCTTAGTGTGAATGGGGCCTACTATTATACATTGACTGTAAGGTAAAGCTGTCATAGAGGAAGTGTTGTAGAGCAGACACGATAAAAAGCAGAGACTTTTCATTTTACCTTCTAACCAAGTAATGGGCAATTCTGGGGGCCTCTTTTTCTATAGAGATGAGTTAAAGTGTCAGTCCACCCAAATATTTTGGTTAGGAGCTGAGTCTGGTGGGCTGTGTCACCCACTGGCTTCTTAAAGGAGAACTATGGGTTAAGGCTTTTCCCCATAGTTCTCCTTAGGGTAACGGGAGGACACAAACTAGCGTCCTCCCGTCAGCCTAGGCTCAGTATACCGCGAGCTGTAGCTCGCGGTATACTGAGAAGCCGCAGTATACTGCGAGCTACTGCTCGCGGTATACTAAGACGCCGCAGCTGAAGCGGATCCCGACAATTATGTCTGGATCCGCCCAGCTGCGTGACTGACAGCTGGCTCTGCCTATCTAGAGGCAGAGCCAGCTGTACCCGCCCCCTCCCCCGTCCGTTCCGCCAGTCAGCGCTGCAGGATCGGAGTGGGGAGGGGGGAATCCAGCCCCTCCCCTGTCACGGCTCTCTGCAGTGACAGGATCGAGAGTTGAGCGAACGCCGGTATGTGTTCGCTCACCTCCCAATCTACTGAGCCGACCTGGGACAGTCTCATTGTCACAGGTCGGCTAGAACTATGAGGTGAGTGAAAAGCACTCGCCTCATAGTTCTCCTTTAAATGTCTTGTGGACACCACTAGAGACCCATCTTTGTTATTGCTCCGGGCATTGAATGAAGGCTCCTTTGACTGTGCCATGAATAATTTTGGTCCAATTCCCCCAGATAACGTCTCACCTGTAGACTGCATATGTGTGGTACTCGTTGAGGTTGGCGATTCTCTCATCCAGGTTGGCGCTGCGTTTGCTCTTGTCGATACTCAGGTGGAAAAGGTCGATATAGGAGTCCAGAGAAAACTGGTACATGGGGTCAATCCTCCCGAGGTCATTCAGGACAAAGAAGAGGAGAGAAGCCCGCTGGGCACACGAACGGTACGCCTAGGATGAAAGGATGGGCATAGCTGGATGATGACATAGTGATGGCCAGTGATAAGAAGCTGCAGTGCCTTGCATAGTACTGGTAGAGATGTCCCATTACAAGTTTACAGTCCCATTGCAACTCTACCTAAAAATAAACCTAAAGTCCAAACTGGTTTCATTTTGGAGAGAGTTGGGAAGAGTTAAAACCACAGTGAGGTTGTTTTGTTTTGCCACATGTGTCCCATTGGTGGATTTCCTGTCACTTCCTGTCACTTCCTGTCCTGTAGACCCAACTGGACAAACAAGTCCCCTCTTAGACTGTTGTCCCTATTGGAAGATTTATTCTATTATTGTTCTGATGACGACTCATCGGTGTTCACCGGGACAAACAGAGAGAGAGAGAGAATCTCCCCATCAGTGCAAAAACAGCAAAAAACACCTGGCAGCAGAGGCGTAACGAGGAACCTCAGGGCCCCGGTCCAAGAAACCATGAAGGGCCCCCCACTCCACCCACCATAAAAAAATGTTGGCACCTTGGCAGTTATCGGGGTAGTGCATGTGTGTAGTCCCAGGAAGCAGGGCCACCAGTTGAAATCATGGGACCCCATAACAAGTGATTTCAGCGGCCACTTAAATCACTTGTACAAAAGGGCTCCTCTGCTTTACATTTAGCCCTGCTTTCCAAAGCAGGGCTAAATGTAGAAAAAAAAATCCCTGCCCGCCACCCCTTCAGACCGGCACCCCCCACTCCCTCCCCCAAAGTGGCAGAACGCCAGGGCCCGGTCTCAAATGCGACCGCTGCAACCCTGGTAGTTTAACCATTCGCCACTCCATCTAAGGCAGGGGCTAGGCAACTGGCAGCTGCCAGAGTCTTGCAATGGCTCATAGGACTTGTAGTTTCACCACCTGGCACCTGGAGTGCCGAGTGCCTACCTCTTGCCTACCACAGTATCTGAAACAGTATTAGCTACATTTAGAATTGACTCTAACCCTAGATAGCAACTGCGAAAACTCAGCCAGTGGTCACTTCTCACCTCTCTGGCTAAATCGATCTTCTCCTCAGTCTCCTCGCTGCTCTCCAACTGCTCGCTCACTTCAGTCGCTGTCACCTTCGAGGTCTGCAGAGTGTTTGCAAGTTGCACATCATCAAGAAGAGATCCCGTTGCCTCATTCAGCAGCCTGCAGGACAATCACACCCATCAGAATAAAAAACTAGAGGTCCGGACCCGTAAAGACGCTTCCAAAAGGCGCTGGGACGTCAACGCTTGTTCACTCAAACAAGTGAGGAGAACATAGTTATTTGTTTAACTCTGGTAAGTCCGCTCATGTGAAGCAATGAGCATGTGGCTGCCCTCCAGGGGGTACCGAGAATGTGACTCAAAGCGTCGAGATGCGAGAGGAGCACCAAACCAAATGATGAAACAGTCTGAGCTGCTTTAATGGTTCATAGAATGATCACATAAAACAGCCAACGCATTTCGGTGTCAAAAGCCCTCCGGGATGAGAAACCTTATTCAGAGGTTGAGTGGACTCTGCCCTTATGCCAGCCGCTGACAACACCGCTATCCCTCCGCACTGTCATATCTCCTTCATAACTGAGTAAGATCGATTTTATAGCTCTGTCTCGTAATTTATGTTTCTGGGTCCACTTCAGGTCTTATAAAAATCCTCAGCCCTGAGGGGAGGTTGCTTTTGGCCCTGAAACGCGTTGGATGTTTCATGTGGTAATACTATGCGGTTTGGACTCTTTCCACATTTGATTTTGCTCTCCTATTGTATTTTGATTCTTAAAACAAAAGTAAAAGAAAATCCTAAATGAAAGTGCCCTGCAATAGGCGAGGTATTCTGTTCACCTATCTGGTGGCCCATGTGTCTTACCTTACCTCCGCAGCCCCCATTATACTCTTTAGCATTTGACTCTTCCAGGATTGTCAGGTCCCTGTGTCCCCATGCAACCTGTGGTTCCTTCCTCTGATCCCCAAGTCACAGCTAAGTGCAATAGTGACACTGGGGTCAGAGAAATGAAGTAGTGCACAGTAGGGGATGAGACAGCCGACACTCCCAAAAGTGTCAAATGCCAAAGATGCTAATGTTGGCTACTGTCCTTGGAGGGAGGGAGGAGGGAAATGCGAGCCGCCAGGGAAATATATTGCAAGGCACTTTCCTTTAGGATTTTTTTTCACCTTGACAGGGTCACTTTAAGTGTAACTTTCTGTGAATCCATATTTAGAAAAAATAATAATATAAGGTGGGCAGTTCAATGATCAACTTTGTGAATAGAATTCATGTTTGTACATGTGAGGGTTCTGGAAGTATCATTGTGTCTGCCTGGAACTAGAACACATAGGAGGACATTCACAAGAGGAAAAGATAACTCCACTCCTCTCCAGGAAAACCTCCCTGCAATCATTTATAACTGCATTGTCTTTCTTGGATTGTGGGAACCGGGCCCTTGTAGGCACAAGAATCCTCAACATTTCCCACACAACTGTGATCCAATCATTTTTTGTCGGGATGCACTAGTATCGGTATCGGTGCCGCTACCGAGTATTTGGGCAAGTACTCGTACTCGCCCAAATGCTCGAATACCTTCCCCGATACCAGAAATCTTCCTCTGACCGGCAATGCCATAGGAGAACATGGAGCCAGCTTCCCATGCGATCAGGAAGCTGGGCGGTGAGTAAGGACCCGCTTCCCGGCTTCCTGATTGGCCGGGAAGCATGCTCGATGCTCATTGGCTGGGAAGTTGGCTTCCTGGCCATTCAGCATTGTGCCGGCCAAACAGCCGGCTCCTTGCTGATTGGCTGGGAAGCCACCTCCCTGGCCAATCAGCATCAAGCCTGCCGAACAGCTGGCTCGATGTTGATTGGCTGAAAAGCTGGCTTCTAAGCCAATCAGGAAGCCAGGAGGCAGGTCATTACTCACTGCCCGGCTTCCTGATTGCCTGGGAAGCCGGCTCCATGCCAGCGGAAGCACCAGTATCGGAGAGTACCGAAAGCAAAGTATCGGTACTTGTACTCGATATTGAAAAGCCGGTATCGGTGCATCCCTAATTTTTTGTTTCAAGCAGACACACGTCCTAGACCAGGGATAGGCAACTTCGGCTCTTCAGCTGTTGTTGAACTTCAAGCCCCATGATGCATTGCAAGACTCTGACAGCCACAGGATTGACTCCCAGAGGCAGAGGCATGATTTGTAGTTACACCTTAGTGCCGAGGTTGCCTACCCGTGGTCCAGACCTTGTATAGTGTGATGACTAGCAAATTTGGCTTGTGTCAGAGCTATATACATGTATAATAATAGTGTGTGACTGTGTGGGGGGACATTAGAGTGTAAGCTCCTCTGTACAGAGACTGATGTGACTGTGTGGGGGAGGGGACATTAGAGTGTAAGCTCCTCTGTACAGAGACTGATGTGACTGTGGGGGGAGGGGACATTAGAGTGTAAGCTCCTCTGTACAGAGACTGATGTGACTGTGGGGGGGATATTAGAGTGTAAGCTCCTCTGTACAGAGACTGGTGTGACTGGCTCAGTGTTTGTCTGTACGACACTACAGAAGGTAAGTAGACGCATGTGACATGCGATTTATAAAGTTGATGATCTGCCTGTCCCCTGTGTGCATGTGATGATACAATTGGGCGATGCCTGGTGACCCCGGTGTGTCCCCCCCCACCTGAGAATCTCATCCTCCAGTTCTTGCAGTTTGCGTTTCCCAGTTGCAATGTTCAGGACCAGTGACTGTTTCTGTCCCTCGAGCTCCGGCCGTTCCTTCCTCACCACGCTGCCCAATAGCTGAGCTTCCAGACCCTGCGAAGATACAAGAATGTTCCTGAAAGACGGCGTGAGAGGCAGGTTTACAATATGGTGGTCAATCCACCAACCAACTCCTTTAGCCACGGCACACAGATGGAGTCATAGAATACCCCGGAGAACAAGGAATCTGTTCCAATCTGATTATACCAGTGAAGGTTCCCATTCGTCCAGGTCATATTATAGTTAGTAGTACTGTCCATCGGCCATGACCAACCATGATCAGCGAGACCAGGAGAGAGAGCAGCAGTGAGCGGTCTTTATTACAGGAGGGGCGGAGACAAGACCAGCCACCCTGCACAAGGAGAGAGCAGCAGTGAGCGGTCTTTATTACAGGAGGGGCGGCGACAAGACCAGCCACCCTGCACAAGGAGAGAGCAGCAGTGAGCGGTCTTTATTACAGGAGGGGGCGGAGACAAGACCAGTCATACTGCACAAGGAGAGAGCAGCAGTGAGCGGTCTTTACTAAAGAAAGCCCCAATTTTTACACTGGACTATTGCACAGATCTGGAAAAAATACACAGGACTCTTGTATGGGGACAATATCTGCTCATCCTGGAGTTCATTTTAGGAGCCGGGCGTACAAAAAGTTTCAGTGTCCAATGAAAAAGGCTCCAGCACTACAGGCCGATCTTCCTTGTACATGAACATTATTGCCTCTCAGCTCCCTCTTTGTTGCCATAGATGTAGCGCGGTCCCGTCCGTTCTACTCTACAAACAACAGTCACGCTCAGGAAATAAATCCCCAATTTAATCTCCGTGGCAGCACCCCGCTGTGGGAAGGGGCTGTCGGTTTTGTATGAGGCAATGCCTAAACACAAAGGAGAATTCAGCGGATTAAACAGACAATGTGGGTCCAGAAAAGAAAGTTTTTAATGCTGACGGATAATCCGCTTACTTTGCCTTGGTTACATATGTCAGTGTCTGGCTATGGCCGGGGCCCGGCTAGAACGTATGATGGAAGAAACACATTCAATTATTAATGAAATAAAAAAGTAAATGTTACTTGTATCCCACTCTTTAGGGGTTTTTCATTGTAGATAGATTGGGGAAGAGCTAACATTTTTGTCTTTTTTAAAATTTCCCTCCATGACCCCATTGGGGACAATGAGGCGGGGGGGTGGGGGGTGGGTTAAAAGCAACGTCAGAGATTCTAACCCTTCCTTGCTTGTCTTGCTTCCTTGTTTTTTGGAAGCCTTACTCTTAGCACAGGTTGTGTGTCTGAATTTTATTTCGATCCGAAGGGAAGAGCTAGTGCTGGGTTTTCTTATTTATAAAGCCCAGCATGCTTTGCAAACAGAGTAAGATGAAAATACCCTGCAGACAATCCTTCTTTGTAAAACAAATATTTTATGTCTTGAATAAGAAGAGAACATTTTGGCTTAGGAGTTGCAAACTTAAAAACAAAATGAAATTGACCAAAAACTGTTTTCGTTTCCCAGTTATAGAAACTTGTCAAGCAATCGATATTAAAAAAGGGGAGAGCGTGCTGCCGCCAAGCCTAGAACCAGGTCACCCAACGTGGGGTGCCAGGAGCCAGCCAGGGGCTCGTCCTATGTCCAAACAAGTCGAGGAGAAGAAAGTTAGAATTCAACGCTAGACAAGTTTACTGATCTGGGCAGGAAGTCCCCACCTGGCACCTTGTTTGACCCACAAGACCCATTAAAAGGAGAACTATGGGGTCAGGGCTTTCCCCATAGTTCTCCTCAGGGTAACAAGAGGACACAAACTAGCGTCCTCCCATCACCCTAACCTCAGCTGTAGCTCGCGGTATACTGAGACGCCGCAGCTGAAGCAGATCCCGACAACTGTGCCGGGATCCGCCCAGCTGCGTGATTGACAGCTGGCTCTGCCTATCTAGAGGCAGAGCCAGCTGTACCCGCCCCATCCGTTCCGCTCAGTAGCCTTGAAGGGTAGACATCCCAAGGCGACAGTAAGTGACTTCCATATCCTGCGGTCTGTCTCTATGTGCACCGGTGGCCCCCAATCCACGTAGGTCTGAAGGTCAGTTCAAATGGGGAGCTGTACTTTCATTCCATGGGGGCATCGCACCAACCAATGACAGGGGTGGAGGACAGTGGCCACCAAGGCAGAGAGCCTACTGGTCTGTTTTACAGTTTTCTGGGGGAATTGGGAAGGGGGGTAACTCAAGTTGGTGCTGACAGTGAGGAGGATATTACATTTCCATCCATGATTATGGGGGGCTACCTGGGTGCACGAGAAGCACTAACTGCAGGATATAAAAGGTAGTGACATGCACATTGCTGTAGCTGCTCTTCAGCACAACTGTGATGACAGGTTCTCTTTATCGGATGGTTATATTCCTATGTACCTGTACCAACAGAAAGAAGACAGAAGAAAGAATCCCTCACCTGTTCCTTCACGGCAAAGTTGACGATGGTGGTCTGTGAGCTGATCTCGGGGGTGTAATGAGGGTTGGAGAGTTTCGTTGTGATGTAAAATCGGAACTCCGGATTGTAGACGACGTCCTTATCACCCAACCGGATCTGAAGCTTTCCCCCTGAACGGCACAAGAATACCTTTCGTTAGAAGTGGATCGTTCCTGGAAGTCGTATGTCAGCAAGGCTGGAGTTCCCACAAGGCCACCAAGGCCCGGCCTCGGGGCAGCAGGGAGTAGAGGGGCGGCGGGGGTGTGGAATTCCTACCCCCCATGACCGGGACATGCAGTTCCGGGCGGGTAGTTTTTCTCCACATTTAGCCCTGCTTTGGGCAAGCAGAGCTAAATGTACAGCGGGGAAGCGGCAGCTCGCTTTGTACAAGGGGTCTCGGCGATGTAGGGAATTTTTTTTTTTTTAAAAATAAACAAAATAAGAGAAATTAGTTAAAATAAATAAAAAAAGTGATAAAAAAGTATTTAATAATCAGATACAAAAATTATTAAAAAATAAAACCGTAAAAGATAAATTCAAATGTAAAAAAATAAATATAAATGAAAAGAAAGTGATAAAAAAGTTAAAAAAAATTAAAGAACCATCTGGTTGCTATTCTCCATTAAGGGGGGTTTGGTGGGAAGGGGGGTGCATTGAGGAACCTGGCCTTGGGGAAGCAGAGAAAGTAATGAAGGTGGACGTGGCTGGGTGGATGGTTCATCGTCCTGTTATGTTCCTATTGAACTTCATTACTCTTCAGCTGCATTTTGGGACATCTCGCTGCGATTTTATCCAGGGACGGTCATTTGATGCGCTGAATTTCAGCTGCAAAGTTTCCATTGCGGATATATTGCAGCAGAAATTTCAGCTGTTAACATTTTAAATGGCACCACACTCTCAACATGTGTGCGTTGTGGTGCGCTGCATTATGTATTTATTTATTTCAGGTATTTATATAGTATTTATATAGCGCCAACAATTTACGCAGCACTTTACACAGTGCACATTCACACCAGTCACTACCCACAAGGAGCTTACAATCTAAGGTCCCTATCTCACAATAACACATACATGCCAACTTAGAGAGGAGCCAATTAACCTTCCAGCATGTCTTTGGAGTGTGGGAGGAAACCGGAGTACGCGGTGAAAACCCACGCAAGCACGGGGAGAACATGCAAACTCCTTGCAGATAGTGGCCTGGCCGGGATTCAAACCGGGGACCCCCAGTGCTGCAAGGCAGAAGCGCTAACAATTACACGCCACTTGCCAAAAATGGTGAATGTCATGTTTGGGTGCATTGCCATTCATCTAACTGGGCTACTATAACGCACTGCGTTGCAAAGTTAACTTAACCCACCAGGATGCCGCAGTCCGAATGGGCGCTAAAATCTAACCTCCAATGTCACGGTTCACCTTACTGCTGTCATGGCAGGAATAATAGTTGCATCGTGACACTAGATCCACACAAAATAGCCATTGATCCTGCCTGTTTCCTCTCTGCATTACTTACCCACTTTGGTGAAAGACTTGTTGAGGATGGGCGCCAGTGACGGGTCCAGATCCTCCTGGACATTTTGCAGAAGGACGGGTGTCCCGAACTGAACAGCCTGTTCCAGGGTGCGCATGAAATCCGTCATCTGAAGGTCGATGACTTTTAGACCCTAAGTGAAATACAACAATATATGTGAAAAAAAGTGGAAGAGAAAAGATGGTCTACCCCTTCCCAATACATGTCACCTAAGCAGGAAGTAATGCGGGTGGACCTCTTTTCGGCAAAATGTGACCCAGGCAGAATTTGAGCCTATCCCACCACATAGCATCCAGGCTGGAGGAACTGGAAGATGACCACATCCCACCACATATGATCCAGCCTGGTGGAACAGGAAGATGACCACATCCCACCACATATGATCCAGCCTGGAGGAACTGGAAGATGACCACATCTCACCACATATGATCTAGGCTGGAGGAACTGGAAGATGACCACATCCCACCACATTTGATCCAGGCTGGTGGAACAGGAAGATGACCAGATCCCACCACATATGATCTAGGCTGGAGGAACTGGAAGATGACCACATTCCAGCTCATATGATCTAGGCTGGAAGAACTGGAAGATGACCACATCCCACCACATATGATCCAGCCTGGAGGAACTGGAAGATGACCACATCTTACCACATATGATCCAGGCTGGAGGAACTGGAAGATGGCCACATCCCACCACATATGATCCAGGCTGGAGGAACTGGAAGATGACCACATCCCAGCCCATTTGATCCAGCGATCCAGCCTGGAGGAACTGGAAGATGACCACATCCCACCACATATGATCCAGCCTGGAGGAACTGGAAGATGACCACATCTGACCACATATGATCTAGGCTGGAAGAACTGGAAGATGACCACATCCCACCACATATGATCTAGACTGGAGGAACTGAAAGATGACCACATCCCACCACATATGATCCAGGCTGGAGGAACTGGAAGATGACAACATCCCACCACATATGATCTAGGCTGGAGGAGCTGGAAGATGACCACATCCCACCACATATGATCCAGCCTGGAGGAACCACAACTGACCCTATTCTAGAATGTGACCAATGCAAAATAACTGGCTGTTGGTCACTGTAGAGCACATATGAACTGGGCAAGAGGAACATGAAGTTAACGGGCTGATCTGACACCAGCAGGAAACAGCACTCAACAGTAAACAAGAACATTGCTTGCCGTAGAAAAAAAAATATTCATGGACTTACCTTTGCAGACTCCATACTTTTGATCCATTTGCTGGCTTGTCCCTGTGGATCTATCATCAGTGGCCACCTGAATAAAAAAAAGGCTTCATTAATTAAGGAGCAGGGCTACTTAAAGGAGGCCAGGACTCTTACTTTAATATGTCTAAAACGCAGCACGGCATCAGGAGACGTAAATAGCACCTTTACAATATTAGAGGGTGGAAGCAAATCAAGGCAGTATAAAGAACCCACACAGACATTGAAAGAACATAAAACTCCATGCAGACAGAAGCCTGGCAGGAACTGAAATCAAGACCCCGACAATGCAAGGCCACAGATGTAACCACTCAATCCCTGGACTGCCCATATTCCGTCCACCACCTGACTCATCGCTCAGTAAGAACACAGAGTGAGGAGATGACAGTACCTGTTGCCACGTGTGACAATGACGCCGTTATCACTGGAGAAGCTGTCAGATGGGAGGCCCTGCAGGTTCCAATCACGTACCATGGTGGGGCTGGACAGGAACGTGGCAAGGTCAAACTCTGGGGAGCAGGGTACCAGCATTTCCTTCACCTGGCAGAGGACAATCGGGTCAGAAAGGTACATTTTACAGAAAATAGGAAACAGATTTGACCAGCTTGGAGTTCTACAATTCTTGTTGATCTGCAGATGACGTATCCCTCAACAAAGCTGGAGGCTTCTTGTTTTTTTAATTTGGTTGGAGGTGTTTTAGGCTCCTATTGGCTCACCTCATAATAACCTGCATGGTTGTCCTGTCGCGGTGCACATAGCAGAGCCGTAGCTGTGTATATAGAGAAAAATCACCTCTTTGATCCAGATGGAAAGGATTTCATCCCGGTAGTTGGATAGGAAAGGCCCCATATAAGACAAGAAGGCCGAGGCCAGTAGACAGTCACCGACTAACAAACCCAAATCTTCTTCAAGACCCTGTAAAATAGAATTATGTGGAGATGACCAGAAAAAAACAAACATTGGCAGGGGTCACACATGTAAGCTTTAAAAGAGGGATGCTTGGCCAGTGTTGGTGTTATGATAAGCTCAGAGTACCTGTCAGGGTTTACCTTTCTCCTCTGAGAAGCCCAGCCAGGACTTCCAGGAGATCATCTACTAATGGATCTCACAGGGTCCAGGCCAGTATGGCTAGTAATAGAAAAAGATTCCAGACCAGGACTTCCAGTGTACCCTGAGGCTGGGCGTGTCGTCTCTGATTCTGGTGCCGTGTCTTTTTGTCAGCTTCCGGTTTGTGAAAGAGTTTATACTTCTGCTGACTAGTGATGGGCTCGGGCGTGTTCGCAGCTCCACGTGCAGAGCCCGCCAGGAAGCTGACAGCGTCAATCACAGGTACTGAGACATTATCCCGGTCCGCATCTGCAGAGATCGGGATATGTCTCAGTGCCTGCGATTGGCGCTGCGGCGCTGTCAGCTTCCTGGCGGGCTCGGCACGTGGAGCTGCGAACA